AACATGACCAGTCTATGAGTGACGGCATCAAACAAGGAGAGAGGGAAGGCCAATATGTAGGACATCAAAGCTGCTGTGGATGAGCCGCAGCTCTTTGAATGATATGTGAGAGCAGCAATTTTTCTGATTGTGAAGCTTGGCTGCAGCTATGATTACTGTTATTCCAAATGGACCAGTGAAAATAATTTCAGTTTCTACAATACTGGAATTCAGTGAATTGTTTTTGAGATGGCAAAAAAAATTCTCAACAGCTGGTTACCAAATTAGTGCCGGTTTACTTCTTTTCTAAATAATCCATCAAAATGTAGGAAAAAATGTCATGAAAAGAAAATGATTTTAATTATTTACTCTACCTTCTTTTTTTTATTCAAGGCACAAAAAGGTAATTTCCTGTCTGTAAATCTCTCAAACTTCAAATACTTCTTTGACTCTGCTGAAGATGCGACTGCACTTTTTACTTTTACTCTTAACTTCAGGCCTTTAGTTAGAATTAACTCTGACAATGAAGATGCTAAAGGATAAATAACCTCAGGTTGAGATTCTAGTCTAGGATTGAACCCTTGACCTTTTGGATCAAACATAAAACACTTTAAACACAGATAATGGGCAAAACAACACTGAATCAGTGGTTCCTAAAGTAGGGGGCCGTCCCCTAAAAGGGTCACAGAGCAACTACAGAAAGAAGGCAAGTCAAAATCACTTTTACTATAATCTTTCTATACTTATGCCTCATTGCACAAACTGCACTCCATTTCATTTCCTTTGTTTTAATGAATGTGTCCGTCAACTGTCAACAAGGCCAACGGTTACAGACAGGAACACTGAAAACTATTTTTTTTTTCACAAACAGAACATACTAAAACTCCCTAATGTGCATTCCTCAACACTGTGTAGGACAGAATAAAATCCGATTTTTTTTTTTTTCACATTTCTGTCGGTCTTTATATTCAATCTGTAAATTCTTACAGTCACTCATTTAACCTTGTTTCATAAACACTGAGGTGTGTTACTGACTTCCCACACTGGAGGAAGTTTGAAACCCACTTCTGCTCAGCCCACGGTCACAGTCCACAGCAGTGAACCCCCCACCCCCCCCACCCCCAACTTTACATGGCTTGTTTATTTATTTTGACTCCTGTCAGTGGAATGTTCTCATGTCACACTCAATGTTCCGCGCCTCCTGCCTCAGACTGACATCCGCTCACAGTTCAAGGATACGTACTGTACGTGTGTACAGCTTATTCCAACATTTTACCTCATCCACCCGCGCAACCTGCCTGACATGTGGGCTGGGTTCCACCCAACTGCCAGACTCCATCTCTGTCAGTGGCGCTCCCTGGTGTCAGGGTTAAAAGCTTTCCATATGAGAAATGGCAACTACAGCGCCACGTGGAAAGTACTGTAGTACTTCTGAGTAGATGATCGGACATCACTGAATTCAGGACAAAGAGAGAGAGTGTGTGTATTTATATAAATAGTCTGATTCTGACTACAGTTCAAAGTTTACCTTTTTAGCCAAACCTCAGAAAAGACCCAGTATTTCAAGATTTCAGATTTCAATAGTAATCCAACAGTTCTACAGTAGAACTACAGTCTCTGTATCCCAGCAACATGCAGTCCACAATTAGCAACATGTGTTTCAATTATCTGTTTAACCCTGTATAAATATTTGGTCAGTTTTGTCACAAACACCAAGCCGTCTTTAATTAGTACCTCCTGTTGGTTACCCCTAACAGTGCACCCCACAAACCTTCATGGTTTGACATCTGCCCCGACTAAATTGACCTTTTTTTCTGACTGGGTCTGAAATGTGGGCCACAGTTTGGAAAAGCGTATTCAAATATGAGCCATGGCAAGTTACGTTGAACTATTATTTCAAGCTACTGCCATACAGTATACTCACACATACAGTACATTCATACATACAGTACACATGTACAGTACACACATACAGTACACACACATGATGAAATGTGTCATCTGGATTGAACCCATCATCCAGCCCAGGTGAACAGTGGAGTCTAGTCCACACATGTAGCCCAAACCACAACAACATAATATAATACAGTATAATATATTATATTATCAGCCTTCAGTCTTTTCTGTTTCAATTAATTTGCTAGTAAACGACAGCTGAATGAAATGATTGCAAATGTTCCTGGTCTATAAACAGATTAATTCATTTCCCTTTGGGATCAATGAAGTATTCATCTATCCATCTCTAGATGCTGCAGAAATCTCTGATACCAACATGTACGAAGGTTTTTATTTTAAGTGCGTCTTTTAATCAAATCTAAGTTCATCCTTGGCCGCGTCGCAGTCCCTGCAGCCTACAGTGCTGAGGTGGGCTGATCAGGAGCAGACCACTTGGGCTGCAGAAAGCTGATTCATCATGACTTTCAAACTATCAACATCGTGCTTTTCATTTGGATTTCTTTGAGTTTTGGTAAAAGGTAAAGAAAATATTCATTTGACATTTACAAATAAAACCTCCACATAAAGCCAAGTCACACAGGGGGCAGCAAAGACAAAACAAGGATTGGAGTCTAAATAATATAGAACTAATGATATAGAAATGGCGTCTACTATTCTGAAGAGTGACTCAAAGTAAAAGCAGTTTCACATTAAGGACGACTTGTTCTCATTTGGTGAAGCTCAGACTGAAACCACAGAGCATCGCTTGTCTTCATGTCATGTTGTTCTTACAGTGTTTTGGCTGGAAACAGAGGAGCCAATCACAAGCACTCTGTGTTCAGAAACAGAAAACATTAAAGATATTACCTTTAATACAAGACACATTTCTTACAACAGATTATCATCAAACATCCTTTAGTTTATTTGAACGTTTTACTTTAAACTTGATCTGAAAGTCAAGTTCATGGAAGACAACTTCTCTGCTGATCTGAACATAAGATAGAACCTGTGGTTCCCAGAACTATTTTCATTCAACCATTTGGTTCTATTCTATAATACTCTATAAATCTGCTGTAAGCAGAGGTAAAAGGAAACTATGTTGATGCAACTTTTCAAAACCAACCTGATAATCTCTGGATAATCTCTTGCAAAATGTATCCGATCAAAATTCCGAATGTCTTTACCCCATGGGCAGAATGACAGGAACTTTGTACACACAAAAAACATCTTCTCTATGTAAATAGAGAGAGTAGAAATGAGCTAGTTCTAACAGCTAGCTATACCCCACCCCAGAGCTTTGTCAACCATTATCCTCTTCAGGTCCCAGATGAGTGAAAAGCAGAGGTACTTTCCCCTGGACTAACTTTCCTACTTCATCACCCAGACACCAGCCATTTCCTGGTATGTACCATCTACTGGTCTGTACTGATAGCTTTGTGTCCACTCCATGTTTTTCCTATTGACAACCCAACCATTCCACTCCGCCGTTCTCACAGACCATCATTTCCATTTGCAAATAAGTGGAGCAGACGAGTTGACAGCATACTTATCGAGCACTGGAATGTAATGCCCCGCAGCAGATCGATAAACAACTTGTGCGGGTGACTCATCACCACGGTGCTCACTCTCCTCTGACAAAGTGCTGAGGCAAAGCTCTCTCTTTCTCCTGCTCTCCGTCCAAGTGGACAAGGAGGGATGCGATGGCCCCCTTAAACCCCAGTGACCTGATGGCAGCGAGTGCGTCTCGTTTCATCGATCTGTTCAGGCCGGATCTAAAGAAATATGAGCGGGTGCCGACTCCCTAATGGGACCGCTAATGCAAGTAGTCCAGCCATGGACTTCATGCATGATGCAGAGCATTGAGGCGGCATGGGGGGGGGGGGGGGGCACCCGTTCTGTCACTGTCAGGTAATGGCCTTCACACCCTGCTCAGTGTATCAGTTAAGGCCATGGCTAATGGCTGTCAGGGCCCAGCACTGCAGTCTCTCTCTCACATTCTTCCTCAGCTCAATGTCATGCATACACACTGTGCATTAGCTGCCCTCCCCTCACCGTCTGCTGTGTCTGCTCCTCTCACCTTCCCACAGGGGACACAGCCACCGCTGCGGTGATGGCATGAAGAAGACTCCTTAAAGGCATCAGCAGCACCCACAGTCTGTGATGAAGATGCAGCTCATCAGCCACGACTATAAACTATCTACAGTCGGACAGGCTTTTGGAATTTATCGACTGAAACCGTCCTGAGCATTATTTGACCCAGGTTTAAGTAATATATGGAGCAGAAATCGATGAGGAGAAAAAGCCATGCTGTCTACTGATGATATCGTTCCACTGTATTGAAGAGGAGGAGGAGGATGATGATGATGATATCAGCTGAAAAATCAATCATGCTGACGGTTGGTGGTTTTTCATTATTCAGGACACAAACACAGCCTCTCCTCATCACAGTGGATCCAGTGGCAGAGACGGTGCTAATGTTCTGTTAATGAAGTTGATTCAAACAGGACTGGAGTGACTGTGGAGTGATGGAGCAGCTCCAGCTCCTTTGTTTTTCCTTTCATTTTGACTGGGATTATCATCATGATAAACTCCTGGGATTAAATCGCTTTTACTACCACTGTAAATTCATCCACGGTGCAGCAGCCACTGAGGACTCTCAGAGTCCACAGGCTGGCAGTTCAATCAGGGGGCATGGGTTTAATCAAATGAAAGGGTTCAATTCCCAGCATGCTGAAGTGTCTAAATACCTGTTTTCTGGGACTTCTTCTGCGTGGTCCGCCGCTATAGATGGTCAAGACTTCAAAACTCCTTTGAACACTAATTTGATTAATTAATAATAATTAATTTGATTACTGCGTATACAGGGTCACGACATTCACAATTACCATGTTGACCTCTGAGGGTGAGGTCAAAACAATAACATCCCATGTTGTGATTCCTGTTTCCCTTTCTTTTGACTTGGTGTCTGTGGAGAACCCATGTGTGTTCAATAACAGACACTGGCTGATGTAATGTTTCTGATAGCAGTAATAGGACTTACAGTACTACATAAGTACTCTTACTGTAAAGAGGGGTTTTGGTGCCAATTGAAATGAAACCTCATCTCAGGAGACACACACGAACGTGGAACTAAAACGACCCGCAGAGTCTCCAGGGTCGCTGTCTGTGTCAGCTCACTGGTCCTAATCAAACATGACAGGCTGACCCCTGTGACCTTCGCCTCTGTTTCCATAACACGCCAGGCCTGGTGTGTTACCAGCAGTAGACAAATGTCAGTGGACGTTAGGTTTAACACAACAAATTATCTCTACGTCACCGCTGTTTCTCCACAAGTGGAGACTCCTTAGTCAAAACGCTGGACATTAAAACTGTCCATCATGGTTATCATAACACTGACCGGGCAGATTGGATTTCATATGACCTGCTACAAATATATAAGGTAAATAAAAACTAAACTAAATTCAAAATATTCTGTCAAATGGGAGGAAATGCAGAAACCAATGCTGATTTTTTATGTATTATGTTGTTATTCACTGTTATTCTGCAGGGACTTCAAACTTCCAGCCTGGTAAAACTGAAGCTGTTTTAGTGCTAAATTAGTCCAACCATTCAAAGCATTTACTATTCTCTTGGCTAACCTTTGTTTCCAGGTATCTTCCAGAACTCTCGGGAAATTCATGTTAATTTTATTAGCTCCAAAATCCAATCCACCTTCGTTAACCTGATAATTCACACAAACTCCTGAAAATTAGCTTGACTTTTTGTTCTTCTTGACATGACATCCTATCATGAGAACACACAACATACACTTAATCAGCTGCAGCTCTGCATGAGATGAATTTGGACTTTCTAACTAACTAACAAACTAACTGACTGCCTTAAGTTTAGCTCAAATTGAAATTGACCACATCTCTAACTGTGCTATTTTCTTCACACCTAAAAAAGACAAGTGAGCACTTAAATGATGTCAGCACCACCTGACCATCAAACCTTTACTGCTTAATGGCCAAGCATATGTGACCAGGCCGTGATGACCTGACATTTTACTCCATGGACGTATGAGAAAAGTAATGGGAAAGATGTTCTCATGGCAGCAGCTGATGGAACTGACCTTGGTGTTATCTCACAAATCATCCACACACTCCAGCCCACGCTGGAGAAGAAAGGGAAAAAAAATAATTCCTTGATGCTTCTACAAAGGACCAAAGACGAAGGTGAGAACGCGAGAGAGGTCAGAAAAAAGGAGTGGTGAGAAGAAGAGCAGGCAGACAAGACGACGAAGATGCAGCAAGAACTTTAAATGGATGACAGTGAGACAGAGAACAAATAGGTTTCAGAGACAGAAGGGAGGAAGAGGAGCGTGATGATACATAAAGTCAAAGTTAAAGGGGGAATTAACGAAAGGAGGAGTGAATTTAAAACAGGAGGAGGCTCGGCGGCGGTCGGACGGCCAGACTGCTGTGTCTGGTGCCCTGGGATTCTGCAGCAGTATACATTATTTATGGCAACAGCAGAATGATTCAGGGTGACTTACTTGGCTCATCATTTACAGGCTTTCACCCATGAATTATTAAAATAATGACTTGTGGTTCTGGTGATCCAGAGAGGGAGAGGGTGAACTTCTGACAGAAGAACAGCAGCTCAGAGGTCAGTCACTGGAACAGTGGTAGTAGCTGGGACATTTTAAAGCTCTGTGTGTGTGTGCTCAATAAAGCATAACTTAAGTTCAAAAGTGTCAAAAATTGAAAATGAAAATCTAAAATATGAATAATGGAAAATGGAACTTTTAACAAAATCCCTACAGAACAAAATCCTATCAGACATGATGAGGCTGTTACTACAAAACTGCTTTTAGCCGTTGATTTATCACTGTTGTTCAACCAGTTCAACCAAGTGTTGTAGAGAACAGATCAGAGTTGGCTCAGAGACACTGTACCAATTAATACAGTCCAAGGATGAGTAACTGAAACACAGCCAAGAGCGGCCTCGGAGGTTAGCCCAAAAATATAACAACGATGGTCGGGGGGCAGATTTACTTGGAGTCATAGATGCTGAGTTTGCTGCAACACTGACATCAGCCCCAGTGTGTTGACATACTGTTGAATCCAAGAACTGACTCTATACAAAAGAAATACAGCTTGATATTCAGCCACATATTGTTGTTTTTTTTGTTTTTTTAAATATCAGAAACAAACAATCGTGTCAGCACAGACCATTATTCATGTGTGTTTATGTTCAAAACAAAAGGAGCAAAAATGAAATCTTATCTTACCTGTGTGACATGAATGCAACATCTCAGACTGTAGCTCCATGACCCTGGACCACTGTGATGATGATGATGATGATGAGGCAAGAACAGCTACACAATTTAACAAAAAAGAAAGAAAATGGTAAAAAGTTAACTATAATAAAATATAAATATTACAATTCACCTTTTTCAAAAAGTAAACAAACCAGTATGTTGGCAAAGCTAAACATACTGGTTCTGGAGAGTTAGTTGTTCCATAGTGTATCAGTCAGGATGTTAGCATGTTCAAACTTGAAGCAGCATATCTGCTGTTAGCATCATGAAGTTTAACTCGTACGTTTGCCTGAAAGCAGCTGAGAATTGACTTTTAAAAAAAAACAACCTAGAGTTAAAACTACACAGAATCTTATGCTCCAACAGAACACAAGCAACTCTCACCAAACAAAGAAGCTAAATATCATTCTGAATGTCACATATTAGTGGTGCGGACAAATAAAAACCCTTATATCCAACACAGTTGTTGCTGCAGAAACAGGCCACTCTTCTATGGACCAACAACTAAAGGGCGTATACACTGTTTTTCTTCTGAGTCTCAGTGAAGTTGTCTCTGCTTTCAGAGACGTCCCAAAGTTTCCAAGTGTCCAAATGAGTCAAAACAACCAAAAAGCAAACTGGCTTCCAGTCAGTTTCCCCCAGTAACAGTCAGAAACAGTAGAGTGGAAACCCGGCCTCAGTCCACATCTTAGTGTTACTCTGTACATACAGTATACCACTGCCGTGCCATCTTCTTATATAAGCTCCATATAGTTTTCCTTTTCCACTCAAATGTGATTATACAGTAGCTTGTTATTTAAAACTTGATCCAGGCGTGAAACATTAAAGGCTGCTCTAAAGCCTGCAGGACTGGCAGAGCACAGTAGGTTCGTGTTCTAATCTCATTTCATGATCTGTGATATTCTGGGCACAGGCTGCATTTCTTCAGCTCTTCTCAAACTTTCCGTGCCAGCTTTGCTGCGTTTTAGAGTTATGCAAACACCCTGAGAATTTAGTTCATTCCTGTTAATAACGGCGCAGTTAAGGTAAATATACAGTGACCTAATTCAATTAAATGTGAAATGCCTTCAACTCAGACCAACAGAAATGAAGGCAACAGGTACACGTCACCTGACACAACCCTGTTTAATTCAAATCTCTCTAGATTATCATGGATGTGCTCAGATGGAGAGAACAGTGAAGTCTGGGACTTGGAGTGCTGCCACCACGACCTTTGACCTTTCTTCATTACACCCCATATATCCGTGGCTGTGCCCTTGAAACTTATCAAACCATTTTGATTTTTTTTTTCAATTCATACATCACAATGTACAACAAGTCATGTTTTTGACATATTCTGAATATGTATAAAAAAACCTAAAACTTCTTAGTTTTACTTATACTGTCATTGTACATATAGCAGCATCTGTAGACAACCATCTAACCATCGACCTGTTCCTGGGAGGCAGTGATCAAGCAAAGGAATTGGTGCTCAGTGCATCAGAGTGGGACAAGGTGCGATTCCATCCTGTTACCACTGGGCCACAGACGCCCCCTGTAGGCTACAGTGCAACATCACAACCAGCCCACTGATCTTATATAAAATGGCCCTGACCCACAGAGTGATGTTGTTTCCCAGGTTGGGCCTCCACACATCAGGGTTTGTTGGATTAGCTTCTTTAGCAATTTGTGCTAAGCTCATGAATGAGCCGATATGTGGACTTTGAAAACAACACTTTTGCCTGCTGCTAACAGTCAGTCAAAGGCCTCACTGGGAAAAATAACAAGTCATTAATTCCATTTTTTGGTTAATCTGTGCAGATTAGGCCACGGCCGTCGTCTGGTTTAGTCATCTGATGATCAGGAAACTACACTTTGGACTCAAATACTGCTTCAGTGTCAGTACAGAAGTCAATGTTCTGGGTGCCATTATGATCCACAAGTAACTGTGAAATTCCTCTCATATTTCCTCCAAGTGGGCACAAAATAGTTCAGCACTGAGCTGCCGGAACATTCGGCGCTGGACGGTTTCATATCTGTGTCATTTCCACACACTCGCTTCTTCGCCTTCAAATGCTTTTGTCATTACTTGTTAGCTGTGACAAGTCCCTGTCCCTGCACTGTTCAACGAGGCCATCAGATCTGTGAGAAATCCCACAGCGAGCAGCGTCGCTGTCTCTGCCGCCGCTCCACAAATGAGTGGCTCTTGAAGCAGCAGGATGACAAATGGCTTCAATACTTTGCTGCAACTCCGCCAACATACACTTCCAGTTGTGCTGCAGTACTTTTGAACAGTGATAAATCTCAGAGCGCTTGTTAAGACGCGTCCTCTGATAATGACTACGTCCTCCTCGGCGCACTCACAAGGAGACACACTCACACTGCACGGGTGCTCACATTTTCGTCATCGTGCTTTTAAAAGGTTCACCGTGTGAGACTGGAGGGAGATAGATTTATTTTATAATCCATTTCCATTGGCAGAAATTAAATATAAAACTTGGCACGTTTGAGAGTACACTCAGCTGAGGGGGTGAGTTATGTCCTCCACTCTTCACAAAATGAGCCTGTCCATATTCATATCAGTGACAGATACTGGCCACGCAGGCCTCAGTGCTAGCTACGTGGTTCAGTGGTTCTATGGTGACGTTGGAGACGTTTTCAACCTCCACATGTAACTTGTATACATACATTATTCACTCCCTTTTTTACAGCTTGTTTTTTCTGATTCACAGCAACTGTAATAAAATATAAATGTTTTTAGCCCAGTCTGTGTTCTCTGATGAACACCTCCATCAGTGGCCGCAGACTCCACCCACCCACAGCTGCACAGTACTAGGGTTCTTGGACCTTCATGTACACGACTAATGACCAAGTACATGAATATTTAGTAAGCAGTGGAAATAATAACCTGACAAGTTATCATTGACTGACCAAATCCCTCTCTCTTCACTTTGATCTACCTAATTAATATATGATGTCATTTTACCAGCACAGCAGTCAAATGCCGTTACCTTTTCACACAGCTGGAAAATAAAAGGAAACTTTTATTTTATTTTGAAAAGTTATTTTAGAAAATTTTGCTTTTTGTCTGATGTACATCATCACCAGACTTTATTTTGTTCCACAGAGGAGAACAAGTCCAAAAAAACACCAAACTGTCTTCAACAAAGAACAACAACCTCGTTCTCTTTAAATGGTAAAGTAAATACTGTTAACATGTATGGAAAAGGAGAAACAAACAAACAAACAAACAATTCCCGCAGTTAAATGATCAGTTGTGTGGTGTTGGTGTGGTGAATAAATAATCCTGGTTTGAGGAACAAAGTCAAAGCTCAGTCAATGTCAATTAAAAATCATGAAACCGTTTGAAAATAAAGACTGAAAGTAAAGATTATTGTTCAGAAAATATTTTGACTTACCTGCTTCTTCATGTGCAATCCATCAAATTCAACACCAGCATCAAACAGGTGAAACAACAGAACCACATGGTCCAGGTGTTTGAACTTCAGGCTCTTCCGTCCACAGGTGTCACTGATTATCACCTGCTCCGCCCTCTCCTCAGCGGCTCAGGTTAAAAAATAAAGGACAACTCTGTCATTTCCCCCCGACCCATTTCTTGTTACTCCTACAGAACACAAATATTATCACATTACAGTCCAACTCATACTAATATTCACTCTTTATTAACTAAAGCTGATTGATTTATTATCAAAATGCACTACACATACTGACAGAGTACACAGAGTACCATCATCCTCTCGACAGCAGGTGACACGTTGAGGTGGAGACTCTTCATGTATCCTCTGTGGTAACAATAACTCAGGATTGGTACACATAACAGGTATTTGAATAAAGTATCGGTTCCATGCCAATACCAGGGGCAGTAGTGGGGGAGATGGAGTCAATCCCAGCAGCCCCCAGGTCACGGTGTGGGTACACTGTGGACAGTTAACCATGAACAACCATTCACACTCACATTCACACCTGTGCTGCACTCAGAGTGAATCATTACTCCAATCCTGCCTGGTGTTGGACTGTGGCAGGAAATCTGAGTACCTGGAAAACCCCAGTACACACAGAGAGAATGTCAGAACTCGATTTCTTCTCAGACTTGAGAATATTCCCAGACCTGTGAGACAGTGTGGACACCAGCTGCAGTGAAGTCCACCACACAGCAGAAGATCAAGAGCAGGACTACCATCAAACACAAACACACACACACACACACACACACACACACACACACACACCCAGTTCTGCATGATTTAAACACTGATCAATATTTAGTGCAGATCATCACTGCTCACTCCTGTCTCTTTTATCTCTTTCCTCAGAACTGTCCACATATCTATATTTACGTAGGCGTGTTGACGTCCACCAATGGGGGAAAAGCTGCACCGATCCGAGTCCGGATCAAATACACTGTTAGTCAGAATAAGCAGAATTTGTGTTTTATGCAGGGATTTGTGTAGGGGGGTGGGGGGGGGAGGGGGCTCCATGGATGTTAGAAAGATACTGAGGCTGTCACTGGGGGCGATATCTGAAACACACTCCTGCGTCATGTGTTTTACTAACACCTCCAACATCATTATGAGCATCTAGAACGAAGCTCCATGGCTCCAGGGGGGGGGGGGGGGGGGGGGGGGGGGGTGGGGGGGGTTAATGTAATTGTGGTGGAGCAGATGAAAATTCCACATTCTTCAGAGAGCACTTCACTTGGAGTGGATGGTGGGGAGAACACTTATGAGTTTGAATGACACCCAGTCCTGTGCTGTAGAACTCCTCTGAGCCAACTGTGACCAACACTTTGGAATGTGTTTTACCACACATTATTTTATGAAATCTTTTATCAAACCTATGAAGCATTAAACGCTCCCTTCTGCAAATGTCATCCCGTCATATGTGGACCGGAGGCCTGCGGCCTGATGTAATTCTAGGGGGGCAACACCAGACACCTTATTTTGCTTTACATTTTTGTCCAGCTATAATAGAATTTGAGGATATTTAGTCTACGGAGTGTCAGCAAAAGCTAAATGTCATTGACTGCTGTCTACGGCAGAGCGTTTAACGTTTCCACCTCCATTGTTTGACCCACACTCTTGAGTTTTTAGTCTGTATTGATCTCATTCTAAAAGATAAAGTTTCACGGTCTGTCTTAACATCGTGGTAAAGACGAGAGTATGAATGAATATTATAGCACAGGATTTATTTTGTCAGTTATGGGGGGGGGGTAATATTCACTCATGAATATTATAGCACAGGATTTATTTTTCCAAAATAATGCATTTACCGTCAGCTTCAGCTCTGTCTGAAAATGCAGTAACTAGAACAACAGTCACGACAGGAACAGTGTTGGCAATAACACAAAAACACATCACAATATTATTTATATTTTGTCACTTCCTTTGTAATTTATTTATTATCAGTTTAATGTAAAATAAAGTTAGAAAAAAAGCCAGTACTCAAACTGATGAATGACTGTTTTGAATCATTATTTCAATATGAAATATGAAATAATTGTTATTATAATGATTTAGTGAACATTTTACACGCAGGTGCATATTGTGTGTCATTTTGTGACAGTTTGAAGCGTTTTGGATTATTTTACATTTTGTGAGTTTTTTAAACCCTAATTTTATTGATGCCAGCAGACGGCGACGTTGTGCAGAAAATAATACAGAAAATGCTTATTTGGTCAAAATGGAGGAATAAAACTGGACTTGAACACATGGATGTTCTTTGTGGAATGCCACAATTTCCCTTTTTATGTTAGTTGCTGCACTGCTTTTGTATATGTCCCATAACACAGAATGCCTTTAAGTTAAGACAGAACCTGGCAGCTCACTTGTGCCACAGCCCTCAGTTGGGAGAAAAGACAATTTGCTCATCCCTAGTGACCTTGTTCGTCAATCACATTTCACAGTAAAGCTCATGGTGAACACATCACGTTCACATTAGGGGAACTGTGTCTTTGTCTTCCCACCGTCTTGAAACAATCACAAACAGTCCTTTGAGCAATGGAGATGGTTCTCCTGCTGCATCGATCACACAGCCCCCTGACAATCACACAGCACGGGGAAATAAAGCAGCACAGAAGCCTCTGCAAACACCACCCACGTATCAACAGACAAACAGCGACGGAACACAATGGCACTCTGTGTCCTTGAAGAAGAAGACGCATTAGAAAATAAATAATTAATACAAAGCTGGCACAAAATGCACAGTAAGCTTTGGGTAATTAATTAAAAGTCTTCATATTCAGATTCAAGGATTTGTACCCAGCAGTGCAGCGCTAAATTGCAGCATAGTGAAAGCTAATTAGGCCGCCGCCTGATGCCGTGGTGTGCTTTATTTACGACTGCATATATGGAGCCATTTTCTCAGTGTATGCCTGGTTACCACGGCGACCTGGAATTTTTATTTCGCCTTGAAACTTTTCGATGACACTGAGCCATCATAAATCTCCTCACCTGCTGGGAAGAGTGCGTTCATAATGTAAAACAAGAGCAGTCCATGAATATTCATTAGTCCCGGTGCTGGAGCTGCTCCAGGTTTTATGAGTTGGCCTGACGTCCGCCCCGCGGCCACACAGCGGCTTCTTAAGAGCCGTTCATTATCAGAGTGTGCGGCTGTGCACCGTCCCATCTGTGAGGTCTCCGAAGTGATTCTTTTGGTTTTAGATCGATAAAAGTCTCCATGTGACTGTGGTGTTTCCAGTTTTAGTGTTGTCAGCTTTAATGAAACAAACACACTCAGGTGAACAGACAGGCCCTGCTGTCTGCTGTCTGCTGACTGCTGACTGCTGACTGATCCTGGTTTCATTTCACCTCCAGCCAAAAACTATCAGTTAAAACCGCAGACAGATTTCCACCTTCTTTTTTCAATACCTTGCTCATTTTATTGGAGTCTAGCTGCTGCAGGCTACATTCCCAGGGCTTGGACAACACCTGAGGCTAAGTTGACCACAGGAGGTCATGGCTGTGACTGTAGATGAGTCCACTGACCTACTTCCTATGCTGCTTCTTCCACAAGTTGTTTGCTTTGGGGTTGGCACCCAAACTATTTTACTACTGCAAATATAATCGAATGAAAAATCTGGAAAAGGACTTTTCTACCCCTAGGTACATTATGGGATGTAGTTACTGTAGTGACTCTAGGGTAACTGTATGTAGAAAAAACAATCAAAAAAGAAATGTATTCGAAACGATTCACATTAAGTACGAGATTAGACAGCTAGCAGCGTTATAGACATGTTGAAACATCCCTCGTCTGCCATCACATCCTGTGAGGGTCACACTACCCTGACTGTGGCCTTTATTTATTTATACTTTACAACAAAGGCCTGATTCTAAAGTTCATACACAAGACTTCAGCCTCAGAGCAAAACAAACCAGGGAGCCTCACATGTCACTTTCAAAAATGTTTGTTATTTTTTAAATATAGTAGAGAGAGATGAAAACTACAGCTCATAAATGCACAAACATGCGGAAACCAAACACACAACGTTCTGCTTCAAAACCACATCTATTTTTACCACCGTCCTCGGAGCACAAATTATTCCACCATGTTTGGCAGCGCAGCTACTCACTGCAGCAGACTGACCTTAAGACAGCCCACATGCAGGCTCTGGAAACCCCATAGTGCATTTCAGCCACAGCACAGCAGCTCTGAGAGGGTCGCTCTCCTGTCGTCAGTGGGTTCTTGGTTTAGTTCAAAGAACATTCAGGGGATCCAGTGCTCATCATTAATTGATCAAATCCTCCTTTGCTTTCTATTTAAAGCTGACCTCTCCAGTAGGGGACACCAGTGTCATCCATCCAACAGGAAACAGTCACGCAACGCTGTTGCTCTGTCAGACTGTGTCACAGTCACAGCAGGGAGCCTGGTTGTATAGGTTTTAAACCTCATTCCTGATGCTGTCACATCCACAGGAAAATGCAGCACATGCAGAGATGGAGACCTGCAGCACAGACCATGTCTGTTTCAGACACTCAGAGTAGATGAGCCCTGTCACATGGTCCCCTGGTCCCCTGGTTGATTTTCTTTTTTTCACATTTTTATTTTGTTCAAAGCATCACATGCTCCTCAGGATGTCTTCAGGAACCATCACGGTTCCATGTGGGAGAATCAAACCCTGAGACACTGACTTCCATCCTGCACGTTGACATAGCTGATAAAGAGGAAGTGGGTTTAATGATCTGACTGTGACTGAATCCGGGTCATTTCAATTGGACCATTGCTCAAAATGAGTGGGGTAATTAGCTCAACAATCCCTGCCTGGTCCACCTGGTTGTTCATCTGGTGCCTTTGTTAGATGTGGACAGGAACATCATTCCTTCATCTTTGGATGTTAGACCCTGAAGAAAGTAGCAGAGGTGACCATCAGGTTTCACCTAAACATCCAAGGACTCTGCTGTCCTAATAGGATCTCTTACTACTCTAATCCCGACATAGATGAGCGCTGGACAGACAACCCAAAAGGTCGGAGAAACAATAAAGACCACAAAGGACACAAGGGCAGTGAAACGCCTCCTTCAAAGACTGTCTGTGGAGGCCCCAACGCCCACGCACCGATCCTGACTGCCCAGCGTTTATTTCCTCCAAAAATGAATCTTAATGAACCATATTAATGTTTTCCTCAATAGTCGTCTAGGTCTGTAGGAGTATATTCTTCATCAGGATGAAGGTCCAGGCCACAGACACAGGTGGTTAAAGCATTTCTACCACGGTATGTCCACAGCAGCACACACTCTACCAGTCAGAAACATCAACATTCAGCCAGAGTCAAATCAACCTTCAATCAAAAGTGACTTGATCTCCTCACAAATGATCGGTTCTAGACCAGATACTTAAACAAAGGTATGAGGCCCAACTTTGGCTCGGTTCTTCTTCACCTCCACAGGGTAAATGTCTGACAGTCACTCTCTACGTTGAAAACCGCAGAGTTTAAATTTATAGCATTTTGTTCTTTATTTAAAAATCCCACTATAAGAAAATGGATGTAAGGAAACCCTCTACACACTGCACCATAATTAAATCATGGTAAACTGCTGTGGTATCCAGAAAAAAAGAACTGGATTTTTTTCACATTATTGTGTCTATAATTGTTTTTAGAACAAGCACTAAATAATTAATATCTATTATCTGACTTTATTTCATTACACTAACAGGCTCTTGGATTTTTCCAAATACTTGTGGGTAAATATAAAAGAGTTACAATAATGTTGCACTAAAGTAAATCACTAGGAGTGTATTGGCAGGAGCCCAGGCAGATTCAGTCTTGAACTTAGGGCTTCAGTAATTACTCTTTTTCCATGAGAGATTAATTGTTGGACATCGATTTAGCAGCGGAACCTAAACCAAAGACTGGAAAGAACCAGCAGCGTCAGTCCACGAGATAGTATCTGACATCAAAAATACTTCATCAACAGACACACATCACTGACAGCAAAGCTGCACCCATCATTTCTCATGCAATTCATCTGGCCTATATTTCTGACTCAATTAGCGTCCAAGCCTGTTTTTAAGAAGAGACCAAACAAAACAGATTTAAAGACTTAGACACCATATATTAATCTTCTGCTCTCTCAACACGTCCTGTCCGCTTCACTTTTTTCCCACCCGTTACATTTTTTCCAGCACAGCTTACGACACAAATGTCTGGACACATTTTAGTAAAACGTCTCCCTCCTTGACTTGGCAGCCTGCTTCCCTTTTTATGACTGAACGGATTATTCTTACACATTAGAGTGATTTTCAACCTACTGTATGCGAGGTGACTTTTATGGGTCATGTGTTTATGGAGGGGCAGAATCAGGACTACTTCATACTGTAGGAAGCCAGCGTTGAAGAAATGGTCAAAGTGGAGAAATAATGACATTTCCATGGGGCTGTAGATCTGCCTGTTCATAAATGAGTCAATGAACTGAAGAGAAAAAGGCCGTTGGACCAAAGACGTGGGCAAAAGACCAGGAGCTCTACACACTGGTCAATATCAGTTATGTGCTGCCCTCTGCTGGACAAAGATGGTACTGCGTTATAGTTGAACCTAAAGCTTAATCCAATAAAATGGTATCAAATACCTGCATATGACTGGTTTATAAATATATATATATATATACATATATATATATATATATATATATACACACTATTCATTACAGTCATATACCATTCTTTCAGTAAAATTAAGACAGAATATGCTACAATCTTAAGCTAAGAGGTCAACGCTGAAAAGTACATACAATGTATTATAATCCTCATCATCCCATTGTTACTGATATTACATCTGCAATCACGTCTACAATCAAACAAACACACCTCACTGATTCAGAGATATGTTTAAGTTTATAGATGCTCTTTAAGTAAAGCTTGGGGGGGGTTGCATTTCATTTTTAGACTTTTTTTTCACGAGCCTTGTACTTTCACTTGATCAATGTTTCAGGAGTCTCTGGTGTTATGTAACACAGCGCAGCGCAGAGCCTGTATCAGCTTGCAACGTCGGCACATAACTGGAGGACTACATGTTTAATTTGAAGTCCCTGTTTGTGTTCAGGTGGAGCTGACACAGGGAAAAATACTATAGTTTACAGTCATAATTACAGTTTTTACCTCATCCTCACCAAAATCAAACATATCAAAAACTGCTCCGAGTGGACTTGGATCAGTTGCAAAATAACGTAAAAACAACAGTTTATTTTAGGCAAGTGCAGGCAACACATGTGAACTGTGTTTTTTTTTTAAAATGACAGAGTTGATATTTGGAAAATACTGTATTTTGGCTCAAGCACGTGGAGAGAACATCAGACTGACATTTCAGAAAAAGCAGCACAACCTGGAGCTCCTTGTTTGTTTTTTACATAACTCACATTCACGTCGACCAAAAGTCTGACTGTCCATTTAAAACTCTTTTTGTAAATACATGCTCAACAAAAAAAGTCCTTGAATAAAGCCCTTTATGATGATGATGAAGATAAACGACAATGATGAAAAAGCAGTTGCAGCAGAGTCGAACCAGAGTCTACTCAACATCTGTCCTCATGTCTGGATCTTTGGTCCTTGTTAATATCAGTCTGCTTCAGAAGCTCAGAAATGAGCTGGGGGACCACTGTTAGTCCTGTCACCTCACTGAAGGGCCAGAAACTAACAGCAGGAGTCAGACTACATTATACTAACTACTATCTAGTTGCAGGCCACATATGGGTGGGTCTTGGGCTGGATGTGGCCTGCAGGCCAGGAGTTTGAGACCCCTGATCTTGGGAAGTATGTCTATCAGAAGTGCTGACAGAAAACAAAACCTAGTGTGTGTGTTCTATTTGTTTGTGTAGCTATACAGAACAGTGGGGGGGAGGGGGAAAGGGGGGTAAGTGAGGCATAGGACTTCAATATTTATGTTGGTATCGAGGGTTAGAATTATGGACAGATTAAATGATATTTGTCACTGGAATTAGGCAGATGTTTGTAGTAGTTAGTACAGGTCTAAGGAATGTCATGTTTGTATTCACAAAACAAAGTATGTTTATGTGTGTATATGTGTGTGTGTGTGTAAAGGATTGTAACACTGTTCAGGACCACATAGTAGACATGTCTGATACATTCCACGTTCCCTAGAAAGCAAAGAGGAAAACATTATTCTTAGGTTAGATGGCCACATGTGATTTGGAGCCAGATTTTTACTGAAGTCCTGAAATCTTCATCTTTCAAGTTCTACTATAAAGTATTTACAACAGTACCAGATTGGAGTTAAAAACCCTCTGTGCCCAGCTGGCTGAGAAACAACACATGTTTTTTCAGCATAATCTGCAGTACAGAGGAGGAAACTGAGGCGACAGAGACACGTGTTTCACTAGAGTGACTTCCAATAATGACCAAATTAATCAGTAGCATCTGCGGCTCATTTCTCCATCGAGAAAAACCTGCTATGAAGTAATTTTATCAGAGATCATGAACAACTATGTAAATCATAGTGGGAGGCAACTATTTTTACATGTGTAATATGTACTACTCTACTAGTCGATTAACTAATAATGAACTAGTAGTCAATTAAATTGTCCCACTTATGGTATCTTCCAGGAAAGGTAAACAACGAATGATCCTCAAAAATATCAACATAAGACAGTGTACGTGTCATTATTATTATTATTATTCCTCCATCACTCCAAGAAGGCTTCGTCACAACCAACACACATGCAAAATCTCACAACCTGTAAAATAATTACAAAACAGTCCATACAGTAAAAACTTCTCTCCAGAATCATCATCAATACTCTATAAAAAAAATGTGGTTAAAAACCAACAACTGACATTTGATGATTTACTCTAATCTGAAACTGAACAGAACGTTCTAGGTTAATAACAGAGGAATCAGGTCATTTCAGAGTCACACAGTGGAAGTGTGGTCACTACTCTTCCACAGAGAACTGTAGCTCTTTCTACACAAACAGAGAACGACCCTCAAATGTATCAAAGAGCGCGTTCAGTGACATTTCAAATTGTGTAAACACACTTTTCATCTTGAAGTTTTAGCTCTGAATTGTCTTTGCAGATTATTTCTCTTAATTCCTAGAAGTATAAATGTAAGCAGCATACAGGATCCAGACAGCCCCACGTCTAAGTCCAAGTGTGCTTCATCTGAGAAACTAGACCATGAGGAAGTAGGAAACCACCAGAGGTCCTTCTTCTCTCCTCAGAGCAATCTACTGATCTGAAGAACATTGGCTCCTGACTGTCTCTGAAGGAGACAAAATAAAAACACAGCCAAGACACAACTGTGATAACAACTTAGTGAAGCCACAAATACCAGAACTGTCAGATCTGTGTTGAAAACAACGCCCTTTATTCCTAATCACTGTACCTTTTATATTTAGAATGCGTGAATCCCATATATAAATGTCATTAGCGTTGAAGAGTTGCTTGAGTCAGCACATGTCCACAGGCTAAACTGGTTACAGGAATCCAAAAGGAGAACGAGGCAAAGCACAATCATGCACTATTTTATCCTGAGTAAATTTTAGGGTGTGTTCACACTGGCATTTATATTAGTATTGGTGAACTAGAAAAAAAAACTCTGCATCGGCTTCATTTTTTCTCCTCTCTCTATATTACTCTGAAATACATCCATGTGTTTCATCAATTCCATTACTGAAAGACTCTGAGTGAGATGTTGATCAGTGCTGGATTAGGATGAGCGTCAGTAAATGTAAAAATTCAATAACAGCACAGAGAACCCCAATGTATACATAAGGATATTAGGGCTGCCAATGGCTAATCAGTGAAATTAATTAATTAATTGTCGCTTTTTTCCACCTCATGTGTCGATACGTGTATTTACACAGAGAGCTGAGAAAGCTGCGAGAAAAGTTTTTGTTTCCCAAACACCTACACTTCAGACTGATCCAGAGCAGGACACTCAGTCAGTCTAACACCGTGGTTAAATGCACTGGTTTTTAGGTTTTTTAAAAGGAACTAATGACGCGTTGAACAATCAAGATGACTCAAATCCACCAACTCTATGAATGAACTCTATGAGTTATACATTAGGGTACTTTTCTAGACAACTTTCCATATAAATAATTCCATCATTTGGATTTGTCTCACTAACGACCTGATGTCATTTGTCCTTCTGTTCAGGAGATATACAGAAAAATGTGTTTCTGTCACATTTAGGAATGTTTTAGTTTTATTCTTGATTAAAAGCAATTAATGTGATTATCCAAAAATATATAAATATAAAAGTATATATTCATACATTTATAATATCACAGCATATAAATCGCCCACTAGAGTTTGCTACATCCTAAACAATGTACCTTGAAACACGTCCAAATGTGAATGTACGGTAATGCATTTGGATTTTCTTCCCAGCGACCAAAGTGAAAACAAGTGTGAACACACCCTTGAACAGTTTAGCTGGCCACTGACCCTGTGTGTGTGCTTCTGCACTTTAGTAAAGTTCAAAAGGTTAAAACTTTAACTTTAACATGTCTATGAAGATTCTCAGTCATCCAGGTCATGGCAAATAAATACGGACACATGGTATTTATTTGCTGTACTCCCCTCCACCAGTTAGAACTGAAGAAGCCTCTTGGATTAGAGGTGAAACGTCTTCTTTTAGAAAATTCATGTCCAGTTGCCTAACACAACTTTTTAAACTTTAACTTTAAGATTTCTTAAATCAATGTCATCTGTTGCTGCAACCTTCTCACTCACAGACAGAAGGCCCGCTGTGACACAGTCCAGGACAAGTATAGTCCAAATATGGACGCGGTCAGACAAAACAAGAGTTGCCCAACTTAACTTCTTGGCCCTGAGCAGAGCATCCAGAGCTAAATATAAACGCCTCTGGTCTACTGTGCCTTGGTTAACATGTCCCTTACCATTTCACTTAGGTATTGTTGCGCTCACTTTCACCCTGAAAAAAACTCAAGGGAGCCTAGAGGTTTAAGACGGAAAAGCTTACAAAATACAGCAGTGTGTCAGTTTTCTTTTTAAAAAAACGTGCCAGATGGTGTAAAAATGGCACATGGTATTTTTAAACATCATGGATCACTATAAATGCTTTTGAATTGTCGCTGGAAACCTGGTGCAGACGGACCAACCAACAGAACACCTTTCCCTTTGTGCGCTTCCTCTACACACTCCTGGGTCTCCTCTTCCTGGGCTTTGGTACCATGGCAGTTTTCCCTGTAGGTTTCATTCAGAGCGAGCAGCCAAAGAGAGGAGCTACTTGTGATCCCTGTGGAAGTGCAGCCAAATCTGAGGCCTGAGACTCTGTGTGCTCAATAGTCCATGGACACTCCGTCCAATGAGGTGGTGGGTGAGTGGGTGGGGGGGGGGGGTGTCCTCTTCCACCATGTCAGTACTTATTAATCCCAAAGATCCTCACACCGTGGAGCTGGGGTAGTTTAGGGATGAGCACAGTGAGCAAGGAAACGGTGTTGACCACAAAATGGATCCTGTCGTATTTGGTGTAGAAGCTGGTGAGAATATACCTGGAACAAAAGGAGGAAAAAGACTGAACTGTGACATCATTAAAAAGAAAGGTGAGCATACAAACCAAATGCTGCCACTCCTCAAAACAGAGCAAACCCCCCCAAACGCTCCCCCCACAAAAAAAACAAAACAAAACCGGGGGCAGTAGAAGTCTGCACAAAGTTTTAGAACTTTAGTTAAAAAATATGAGACCGGTAGGTGGTTAAAAATAATCAATTTAAAAAATAAAAATAATTCTATAGTTTGTAGTAGTGACTACATACTGTAAGAGCTGAATCATACTGTGCCATACAGCTACTTGCCTTTTCTTGTGCTGCATTTTCTCTTGTATGTTTTTTGAAAACCTCTGGCTTCGTTTTAGAAAACAGCAAAGACAATGCTCTTTCCTCAGCAGCAACGTTTGTCAGAGCCCAGCAGGGGGCACTGTGGCTAACTCCTTGTCACAACCTTAAAATACTATTAAAACATTCTATGGCCTCAACAGAATTAATCCAAACATCCTCTGTTTAACACAAACATTCAGAGATGTTTATCACAGTGCACAACACTTCCTCTCTGGTCATAACAACCCAGCCATGGGTAATCATCCTTAGCAAAAATGAAACAAAACAGTGATACAAAAAAATAAAGCTAGGCTAATGGCTAAGCGTAAACAGGATTTGTTTTTTTTCAAATATGAAACAGTGTAAGCATTTCCTTGTTTTTGCTGAACAAGGCAGAACATGTTGGAAAAAATGTCCCCATAGGTGAAGCCTGGAGCCCCCAGAGACCGACCTCTTCCTGCTGGTAGTAGTTATGAAACAAAACGTCAAAGAGGACTTTGAGAGCAGCACAATGAAGTGAAAAACAACAACAACAAAGGAAAAAAAACACAGTGTACAGCTGCAAAACTGCTACCACCACAATGTTCAGGCTGCAGCAGGGAACCATCAGCGCTTCCTGTGAACTGAACAATGCTTGTTAATGAGGACAAGAGCAGGCACAGCTGCAAATACTGAGCAGAGCTTAGGTACCGATGCAGGCACAATCGGTCGGCAACAAAATCCAAGTTCTCTGCAAACAATCTCAAACTTACCAGATAACATGTTCCAGCTCCGACTGAAGTAACACTGTAAAAATTCTGACATTCATCCTCTTGGTATGTCTTGACTTCACTCATGAGTAATGTTGGACATTATTCATTTAACTCTGACTCTCACAAAGGTCAAAAACAGCTCTGAACACTTTTGCTTCTCTAAAGTGCTTCCCTGTCCTGTATCTGCTCCACCACACAGTGACATCTGAAGGGACACTTACATGACAATAGGTGTGATGGTGAGGAACTTGCGCGACGCTGTAAACTGTACACCATAGTCCATCTGCTCCCAGTGTGTCAGGAGGCGAGCTTTGCCCTGATCTGGGGTCTCAAACGGCGTTCCTTTCACCATGTGCAAGAGGAGGTACATGCACTGTAGAAAGTACAACAGGCAGAGAGACAATGTTACAAATGACTGTACATACATATTGTGTGAGGACATCAGCCTGTAACAGGAGCCAAACAATTACAATGTTCTTACTAACAGCACTGGCTATAAAAAACTGTAGTAATTTTCCTTGGAGGCTGGTTTATACATGATCTACCTTCTGTTCCCACAACATTAATGACTAGGGTCAGCCTACACGGCCCAACACAAGTTAGAAACCATGTTTACTCTTAAGCAAGTCAGAGTCTGTTTCTGATCTCCAAGAATCTACTTCTAAGGTTAAAAAAACCCTTTCCAGACAGAGTACTTTTCAAAGACCGACTGACCAGATTGTGGATGAGATTGGTGAGGGTCCAGACCACTGGCACGCTGGCGAAGGGAATGCTGAGCAGAATGATGTGCAGGAGGCCAATACCCAGGATGTAAGACAGCCACATGCCCCTGCTGTTCATCACTCGGGTGTTGGGGTTCACCTCACTGTGTGCCGTGCCCACGTTCATGGTGACTTTGGTGCGACTTCGAGGAGTTCTACCGACTCTTAGTGCACACAGGCACCAAGTGATGCCGTTGTTGTTACCACCTGTGGAAGACAAAGAAAAAACAAAACACAGTCTGAAAAACATTAACAGGCAAATCTTACACTTAGAATAAAAAAAAAAATCCTAAATCACAGCATTAAAACACACCTGGTTGACAATAAAGAGTATACTTTGTTAAAACTTGCCTTTAACTGATACTATAGAATATTACAATAAGTCATTTTATTGCAACCTAATTCATATGATTAATGGTTGAGAATGAATTAATCTTGTATTCATTCATTAATTTGTATATATCTTTCTAACTTCAATAAACCATATTTAATTTCAATTTAAATAATACATTCCTGATACTGAAGAGTAAGAAGAGAATCAACAGTTTCTTCATATAAAGTTTTTCTATTTGCTTGTTTGTTTGTTGCTGTCACCATATCTATAAGGTCACTTGATTTTATATACACTTCAATGCACACCTCCTATATGCCTATTAACTATCAACATTACAAACTCCACAGTATAAGTACAGATGGTACTGCAAAAATTGCAGTGCTGCTTTACAATGTGTTTAGCTTCAGCTTTTGTTGACAATGTTACATACCTACTTTGTTACCTGTCAGCCAATCAGAAACAAGTGTTTTCTGTAACAATAGTAAAACAAAGAATGGACCAAAAGGGGGAGTAAAGATTGACTGACTACGTGGTAACTGCGCAAACCAGGTCAGTGTGTCTGACATGGTTAACAAGTGACTGATCTTAGTAAACAAAGAGCCTGCTCACTGGACCATGCTGTCCACAAGTTCACAGCAGAACAAATAACGGTACGGTGGGATACACAACAGTCCACACAGGTTTCTGACGCTCAGACCTGTAAATAGAACGCCTTGGAGGTTAAGATAAGAAGACGGGTGATCACTACACACACTCACTGCAGGGAGAAAAATGGCTTCAACTCCGACCTGCTATGCCTGTGGTCCGTTATCACACACTTCTCTGTCTCTGTGATGCCTTCAGTGGCGTTAGTGTCAGGGCCGCGGAGGCTGCGGTTCTCCCGTCCGTCTTTAGCTCCAAAGCCTCTAATGAAGAGTCACAGTCCGCTTACATACATCCACTTTTCCTCCGTGTTCAGACGAACAGCTGCTGACAACACAGCACAGCACAACAACGTCACGGCTGCACTCTTTCTACGTACATGCACGCTCACGTTCGCTCGCTCACTCACACACACACACACACACACAAACAAGCTCACACAGTCAGGGTCGGTTTCTAACGCCACTCTTCGCACTCCGCTGTGATTGGCGGTGCTTATGTCACATGGACAAGATCGACGAATCCGCGCGCAATGCGTCGAGATTACGTCGTCTACACCTCCCTAGGTACGTCATTGCGGAGGAGGGATGAAAGGATCATGATTGGCACTTGATGGCACAAAATGATGACGAAATCCAAGATTATCATCAAGAATTATTTTTAGAATTTTTTAATATATATCAGGTCATCACTTGATTTTTTTTCTCGCCTTATATCTGTGAAAAGATGATTGTTTTGATTCTAAATATAAGGAAGATAATGTATTATTAATTTTAAGTAAAGTCCTTTCTTTTGTATTAATGTTTGTTGTCATGAAGATGAATGTGATTATTTATGTATCTATAAAGAGTGATTTCTATGTTTTTTTTAAAGCAAAAATTAAAGGATGCAGTTTTTAAAAATAGAATTCTGCATCATGATGGCATTTGTTAGCAGCTGCCTGGATTGTTTGGTGTGTATTTATTTATATTTAGATCATTTTTAAAATGTTTTTAAATCTGTCAAAAACGTTGTATCTACTGTAGATATGACCTGGTATTTCTGTTTAAAGTGTTGTTTATTTCATACAAGAAATGTCCAAATGTGGGTGAAATGGGGTCATGTGACCTTTCACTGGGCTGGACCAATTCACAATGTGTTCACGTGGCGCTGCCTCTGTTTTTAGCTTCCTTTAACTCCCTCTACAATCTAAGTCAGTACCTGGCTGAAGGTTCAAAAGTTCAAAACTCATTCAAAAGTTGTTTTTTGAAAATCATCATAAATGAATTGTTTAAGAACAACTTCCTGGAGGAATGAGACTTGTGCTGTCTGAATTTGGTTGCTGATAACCAAACAAAACAGAGAATTTGATCACTGAGATGAAGCTAATTGTAAAAGATACACATTTTAAGTGTAATTTAGTCACATGATAATCTTTAGCAGACAGGGTCTCTGCTGCATCTTTGGTGAGCACTTGTACAAAAGGAGGCCCTTGACTTCTTATGTAGCCAAGGTGAGATGAAGACCTTGCTGCAGGCAAGAAAAAGTGACTGATGGGACTGATTTTCTCCTCCCCAAAATCAAAGCTCAACAGTGTCATGTTGGAGACCTAAAGATAAGCCCTTATACTAATTTGGGCCCAGAGTTGCCCCAGGCTCAAGAGGTCAACTATGTTCTCCTTGCATGCAGTGTCACATGACACCCTGTGTTTCTTAGGGTAGTAAACCCCCCTGTGATGAGTGGCATCAGACAGGTCTGCCCCCCCCCACACACACACACACACACACCACCCTTCTCTCCCTCTGTTAATAGCCTTGGGTGCTGTACCTGTCTTAACTGTGTAAACCTAGAGGTCTGTTCAACTGCGAGCGATGGATGACAGTACTGTGAGATCATTGCTGGCAATGGAACAATGGCCAAGTACTTGACAGTGATAAAATGTACCACAAGAAAGAGGAGGGGGAGGGGGAATATCACAGTATATCACATCCACAACTTATCATCTGAACATACTTGACCTTCAGGGACATTTTTAGGAGACACTTTAAAGGTTTTTTGGGGGGAGGATTTTCACATGTAAATTCACTTCGAGCAAATACAGCAACATGTTTTTGTTTTACATTACCCATCTGAACCAAACTGACTCAGAGCAATGAAGGAGTGGATATTTGATCAGCGCCCCGAGACAAATCTTGCTGTCAGTGACGATGATAAAATCAAGGCTTCAAAGTCCTGTGGTTGGATCTTTTTTCAGCACAACCATATTTTTAATAGATGTTCAGAAGTGTTCCTCTGTAGTAGACACTGGTCCTCACTTTAGCAAATGCCCACAGGTCACCTAGATCTGGTCCTGAGATGCAACATGATGCTATCTACAGGAGTGGTGCCAGTGCTAGAAGCTTTTAATAAGCAGATGAATTTCATGTTGTGACATGTTCTGGCGTGAGCTGCCTTTCTGCAGAGTCCAGTGTCATTTTTTTTATGCCATTGGTGAAGAATGTTTTTACGGTTCAAGACTTATTAAGTGTTAGATATCAATTCCTCCATAAGTCTTTTTGCTCATTTGATATTAAGAAATTGCTGAAAGGACCTTACATGCCTTCACTCTCAGGCTAAATCAGCAGGGAGACGATCAGACAGTGTTCAGGGGAGCGGTGTTGAATGTCTGTGTACCACAGACTGTTGGATATATCAACCAGGCAATACGCCTCTGTATTCTGGCCCATCAAATTCCAGTCAGTAAAAGATGAGACCAACTTGATTTGCAAACGCAAACATCGTAGAACAGAACAGAACAGAACAGAACAGAACAGAACAGAACAGAACAGTGTTCATTGTAACTAGAAGACGGGCGAACATACAATGCAATAAAATTGTGAGCAGCTCCAGTACAGTACCCAAAAGCAACACAGATGTCAGTATAGTCAATCTAAGGTAACTAAATCCTAAAGTTGGTAGCTCAGTATAAAATAAACAACATCAAGTAGAAGCTAATAAAGTACTGTATATGCAGTGCAAGATACAAAAACAGTGCAAAGCAGAGATTTTTATGGTGAGGAAACTTTTTCTTTAGTTAAACATTCCTCAAAGGCTTTTCACCTCAGTGTGCAACAAGTAGAAGATACAAATGGAAACTTTGCAAAAAACAGATGTCCTTACAGAAACCAAATGTGCAGACTGCCTTGATCAGCACCTCCATGAGGGTGTTAGGGCTCAGTGACGTTACCATACAGTATTTGCAGTGTCTTCTACACCCCGTACACCCTGTACATACAGGAGTTGTATGATTAATTCAGGAAAGAGCAGCAGGATTCCAAGTACTTAATAAATGATTTGTCATTTAAATATTCTTTTGTTCTGATGCCAACTGGCACCAATGGTATTTGCATCAAATAGTAACAGAGCTAAAGATACAATCTTTTTTTTTTTTTTTTTTTTTTGCATTCCGGCAACATTTTACTGATTATTTGTGTTTTGTTCTTATTCACTATGTGTCACAATAACCAAATTAGTAATAGTTTTATGATCAAATTAAAGAAAACACTTTTTTTTAGTGTTCACCGTATATCCAGCAGGTGTCGCCATTGGCA